TGATGTGGTCGCAGAAATTGTCTGACAGCCATAACTGGGTTCTCCTGCTTGTGTGGCATGGTGCAGAGTCCTGTTGCCAGACAGTCTTTCAGCAGGCACCCTCTTGACCCAGGGCAGTACTACTTTCTCATGGCACTTGATGTAGGCCTCTATGTTGAGTTTAAGATGAATGGTGACATAATGTCGCCATCACTAGTAATCACTCCAAACACCTTTGTAAGCACCATTAGACTGAGACATCTGGAAGAGGCATGGCACGTGGAAGTAGAACAGTCTACCCTAGTGGACAAAATAAAGGTTTCTGTTTGAAATTCCACTAACATGAAGAAGGTGCGTACAATGGCCAAAACATTGTGAATATTGCAATGAAGATGAGGACAACAGCCTGACTAGTGTAAATAATGTAAGTAATCATCAGACCTCATCTCAGACATGGACATATATAAATTCAGTTACAAATGACATCATCTTGAATCACATCAAATTGGTTCCAGCAAATGAGGAAATGCCAGCATTTGACAAAAACGTGCGTAAACACAAAAAAATAAATCCTTGAAAACAAATGTAGCAACATTCAAAAGTTCTTTGGTGTGGGGAACAAAAAGTAAAAATGAACTTTGGTAAATTTACCGATTATATAAAAACAACTAATTTGAAAAAGTTAATAAAAAATTGGATAGACAGATTTAAAAAAAAAAAAAAAGTTCCAGGGGAAACCAGTAGCTGGTAATCTTAAAATGAGGAACGGGAATGGTCTTTTTAGTAGCGTTAAAATAAATTTAGGCAAACAGTTTCTGTAGCGCTGATGATGAGTGGTTGGTATATTACACTGAATGAGTTGAAGTGCACAGATGATAAATCGGAACAGATGATGTGCACAGAAGATTGGTATTACACAAAAGATGACCAGAACAGTCGGTATTGCACAGAAGTTAAGCCTGAAAAGTAGGTATAGCATAGAACCGTTAATATGCGCAGAAGATATGGGCAATTTACCATCACATATTGAGATGGTTTGAATTGTTAGGCCTGAAAAGGTGTTTAAAGAAAATCCTTAGTTTTGGTCCTGAAAAAGACAGTTGCTGCATACCATGTAGATGGGAGAAAGACTCTGTTTTGGTTGTAAAAAGAAAGTAGGATCTTACTGTTTGGTAAGAACAGGATCTCTAAAATCTCCCTGACATTAGAAGAATCAAGTGCAGTAGCAGGATGGCACATTAACACTACCGGGGTGCCTTCCCAATATTTATCTTTGACCCAACATCGAGTCAGAATGCAACACAAGATCATTTTGTTTTATCATGGTAAATCCGAGTGTCACCACTTGGACTTCTGGTCTTAGCTAGTCATAGCCAGTCAATCACCTTGCTACAGAATGGATCTGAGGATTCTGTTCAGGCAGCGGGGGGATGGGGTAGCCCGGCTTGGAACAGATACTACAAGAGCATCTCCCCCAAGGCGAACCATCCAAGGAGTGGGGAGGGAGCAGCACATAACAGATACTACGGCAGCATCTCCGCTGAAGCAGGATGTGCTTTCGCAGTATTTACCTATAATCCACCACTGAGTCAGGATGTGACACAAGGTCAGTTTATTTTAATATGGAGTACCCAAGTGTCCTTACTCATGCCAGAATATCATTGCTGGTCTTGTATAGTCTTTGCTCACCATAGCCAGCCACCCCGCTATGGAACAGCTCAAGGATCTGTCCAGGCAGCTAGGAGTGGAGAGTCCAGCACAGAACAGATGCTAAAGCAGTATCCACTCTGAGGCAAACCATTCAAGCAGCGGTGAGGAGAGCCCAACATGCATCTGAACCATGGCAAGACATGGCTTCTACATCCTCCCCCACCTGAGCAGTTACTTGATGCTGCTTTTATGGCATAGGGGTGTTACAACATTCACAGGGTTTATAACACTACTTCCAGTTAATAAAAAAAAAAATAATAAAATACTCTGTTATGAATTATACTATGAAAAGCATAGAAATAGTATTTATTTTATATAATCATAATCAAATATCTTCTAAAACAATTCAGAGAATTACTAAACTCGAACAAACTGTTCAAGGTCACATAGAAAGAGTTCATTTGCTGGGACAGAATATCAACAGAGCAGCAAGATGCTATGAAAAAAATTATATATTAATAAATAAATACAGAGGCTGAAATTTTCTTAACAACCTGTCATTGGCATGAAATTTAAATTGACATTAACCAAAATAAGTTAGTTTCGAGCAAATCTGTATGCATATAACATTTTCACACATTTTGGAAAAACAACAAATTTAAGTGGTATCGTGAGGTACTGCTGGGGTGTCTTGGGTTATTGATAATGACTCTTGTCACAAAACCATGCCTGCCTCGGAGTTATCATCAAATGAAGGATTTGTTGAAAGCATTGCTACTGTGTTCATAGTAGTAACTGTGTGAATTTATCATATATACCTCAGATATGGGTTAAACAGTAAGTGTAGACTAGGCTCTAGCCTTGGATGACAGTCCTTCTCAGAAAAGGACAACTCTGAATTTAAAACTGATGAAGACAAGGAGAAGCCACTCCATTATCTTCCCAAGAATAATAAGGAAACAGAATGTGTGGAGAGCCATGATTCCCTACATCCTGTATGGACATGATTTGACATACATATCTTACTCTGCCTTCCCCAAGTTAGTTATATCACTTCATAAAGAAAGAGAAATTGTGGAGAGCCATGATCCTCTCCATTCTGAAGGGACATGATTTGACATACATATCTTACTATCGCTTTCCCAAGAAGTCAAAGCAACTCACAGAGAATAAAGAAAAAGGAATTGTGGA